CCAGAGTTATCCACGACCTTGAGGTTGGTCCTCATCTGGATGAATGTTCTGATTTGCTGGAAATAGGATAAGAACATATGTTATCACCTTTTCCCCCTTGGAATCCACACTGAAATTTGCGATCATCTCAAGACAAAATCAATATTCCACCAATTATCTAGCTACCTTCACACCATGTCTATGTAGTAGGGTTTTCATAAAAAACATTTTTAATACTTAGTCTAAGTTGTTTTTCATCAAATCAAACTAAACAAGCTCAAGAAGAGTATCTTGTAAAGCAATACAGTTCGTCATAGGAATTCACTCTGATTAAGGATCTATTTATAGCCTACTACAAGTGTTGAAAATTGCAAACTCAGGGATCTGAAAAAGGCTCAGATACTACCAAAGCTATTGAAGCATTCTGCTATATGAAGCAACTAAATGATAGCCAAATAACTTACTGGATGATGGCTTGTCATGGGTATTGGAGAAAATGAAAAGATAGACAATCTTCATTAATCAAACTTAGAATGTCAGTGTAAGTTACCATATATGGATTGAAAGACAGATTAAAATGATTTTCTGACCAACAGTTATGCAAAACTATGAAAATATGTCTGAGGTCAGTATATATTTCATTAACATCCATGCTGAGATATACAAGCAAGAGAAAGTTATATTCCAAAAGCTATCTCCTTAGCTTCAGACCACTTTTTTTTAGAAACTTCTGAATGTTTGCTAGTTTTCATCAAATGACCAACGAAACATGCTCATGAAGACAGTCAAGAGTGCCTTGTAACGGAATACAGTTTGTGATAGGAATTCAGTGTGTCAGAGCCTCACAGGATCTAGTCTTAGTCTCATTGCCATGACTGATAACAAAACATTAAGGCTACTCCAAAAAGGCTCAGGTATCACTAAAAGATTTTCAACTATCTCAGTTGTATAAGCAAGGTCAATGACATGCTGGATAATGTATATCATGGGAAAAATGGAAGACAGGCAATTGTTCAATAATCACATCGAGAATATCAGTGTAGCTATCATAATTCATAAGGCTTTGAAAACATTTATTTTTCTTACCAGCAGCTTATTCAAAACAGTAAGCATAGATGTAAAATGTCAACATAATAATGTTTCTGCACAGAAAGAACAGCTTACCTGACTGATAGCATCACAATGAGAAGGTCTTGCTACTGCCTCAACAGAAGAGTTGGCGGCTCCAAACAAACTATTTCCAAGGCTTCCCATCAAAGTACGCCCAACTATATCAATCAAGAAGCATTCAACACTTTGAATTAGAACAGCATCCTCACAGCTAGCTATTGAAATTTGAAAGCATAAGGTTTAATAAGGTGCAGACAGTTTCTTATGGGCTTATGGCTATGCATTGGCTGCGCCTACATAGAAACATGATTCTAATTTCGTAAGCATTTAAACAATAGGGCTTGATAGTAATTAACCAACCGACCATGCCTATGTAACCTAGTTGGACACTAGGCAAACATAAAACATTGGCAAAATTTGAAAGAGGGACGTTTTTATTCTAAAAAAAGAAGCCTGTTACTTAAATCTAAGCTAATATAAACTGAATTAATTCTATTATCTGAAGGAAGATGCTACGTGACATGTCCTCATTATAAAATCAAAAGCTCAGAGTAGAGGCCTTCAAACTGATACCCTATGTTACACGGATGGAACATCGCGTATTTGACGGATCAGGAATCCGCGCCAGGATCCTGCTCGGAGTATCCGAATTTTAATAATTTTCGCGAATGCAAGCGAAAATGGCGTATGCATCAATCAGAGGCGAACTTGGGCATAAGACATATGCATGTAACTGCGACAGATCCGGATACAAACAGCTTAAGGCATCTACACCAGTTCCCCATTATCAACCCCAACGAGAAAAAACTGTCGTTTGGCCACCCACCGGGGAAAGCTTGCTCCAGCGGATCCCCACCCGCCACCGGAGCGAAGGTCCCGCCCCCTCATCCTCCTCCTCCTCGTCCCCATCCAACCACCTGGCCCCAAAACCTGAGATTGTTGGCGGAGCTCACGGAGATCCTCGCCAGCTCGCTGTCGAGGAAGCTGCTCGAACGCCAGCTGACGTCTGAACGCAGCCGCGAGCACCAGGATGAGAGGAGCGGAATCGGCAGCACGGAGTGGCGCTGGCGGAGGAGGAGAGGTGGGGAAGCGGCGGCACGTCTCCTCGCTGGAGATTATCTTGTTGGGTTGGAGGGTGGCGGTTTCGTCCACGGCCACGCCGCGGAAGTTGGAGGCTGCCGGGAAAGCGGAAGAGAAGGTCTTAAGTGGTGGCTGCTCGTCGCCGGCGCTGCTCGCTGCGCGCGCCGGTGCGCGCCAGAAAAGCCGCCGGGTTCTTCCGTCCGAGCGTCAAGAGTGGTACCTCCTAGAGCGTCTTTGCTTTGGCGGTACTTGCTAATTTGCTATTGCAAGGTAATTTACTACTTTCACTCTTTTTCACAATTTTAATATGCGCTATTATCTATATTTATTAAAAATAGTAACGGATCCACGATCGGGTTTCTTAGAAAATTGCCGAATCCCGCGTATCTTTATCCTTCCGATATCCTTTTCCTTGCAATCCCCGCGATTATCCGTGCAACTTAGCTGATACCTGATGGACATTTTGACCTCAGGAATGCTGCCATTTCCTGCTACCCTGCTCTTTGCCTAAGCTTCCCTGCAAGCGAAAATGGCGTGCATCAATCAGAGGCGAACTTGGGCATAAGACATATGCATGTAACTGCGACAGATCCGGATACAAACAGCTTAAGGCATCTGCACCAGTTCCCCATTATCAACCCCAACGAGAAAAAACTGTCGTTTGGGGGGAAAAGCTTGCTCCAGCGGATCCCCATCCCGACCCCTCAAAGAAAGGGAAACCCCTGGCCCCCAATTGTTGGCGGGAGCTCCAATTGTCCTCGCCAGTCGCTGTCGAGGAAGCCGAACGCCAGCTGAAGTTGAACGCAGCCGCGAGCTCCAGGATGAGAGGAGCGAAATCGGCAGCACGGAGTGGCGCTGGCGGAGGAGGAGAGGAGGGGAAGCGGCGGCACGCCGCGGCGCTGGCGGCACGGTAGGGTTTTGGGCGCTCGATTTCGCACAGCGGAAGGTGGAGGCAGGGAAAGAGAAGGGAAGGAAGGGCGTACCAGGTGGCTGCTCGTCGCCGGCGCTGCTCGCCCAGCCGCCGCCGCCAGAAAAGCCGCCGTGAGAGGGGTAGGAGGTGAAGAGGACTAGAGTCTAGAGGAGATTTGTCCAGGACATCGACCAGCCCAGCCCATATAGAGTAACGGGCATACGATTAGGTGGAGCCCAGATCGTTTGAAAGAATGAGCCCGTTTTCTTTATTTTCCATTCTTTCTTTCTCCTTTTCCTTGCAATCCCTGCGATTATATTTGTTTCTTTGAACAATTTTTTATACCAATTGCATAAGTTAATTTTGTAGAACTTAAAATCTTCAGCGTAAACTTTCAATATTTTTACAAATGACTGGCTCAATAAAAGAATGATCATGCACTAACTATGCAAAAAAAATGTTACAGGTCAACTAAAAAATGGTGTGTATTAAATTTAAAATATTTGAGGCATATATATATATATATATTACTTTTCAATAAAATTATTTATTAAAAGATATTAAAAATGTATCAGCTTTCGAAAATTTCTTCAACTATGTGAGAATTTTATTCATTAAATACTTCGTTTTAGCATATATAATAGTATATATTTTTGAAATAAGAAAATATGATCATATTAAAACTCATTTTTATTTGATTATTTTAGAATAACAAACACCATCAACATGAATTACCAGCGTGCCAGCGAAGCATTTACTATTTATTCGCATTCAAGCATGAGACAAATATTAGAAGTTGTTTGGTTGTTGAAATGGCAACAGAAACGCAAAGGGAACAAGATTGCAAGAGAAGACAACAAAATGGTATCTGATTATGTTAGGGTTGGAGCTGTATCAATTTTTGTATAAGGTGTTATCGGTTCACAATGGGACTCAATTACACACGAGGGAAGGAGGAACAAACATTGAAGAACTGGACCTGTTATTCGATGTAATTAAGACATGTTACATTTACATGAACCAAAGCCATTTTATTTGTAATAACATGTGCAATGTCGATCTAGCTTTACTTTGCTCTCTTCATGTCTCCCTCTCTCTCACACACACACCCGCATGGGCACACACTCTCCAAATGTCGCACTCTTCCTATTTGATCCATGTTGGGCTCTCGCCGTGCTGACCAAATTGATTGATGGATGGATGGTAGTAGCCAGTGATCCAGTGGCTACTACAATGGCATCATCTTCCACCACAACACCATGGCTTAATAGTGGAAACTATACATATTAAGTAAAAACATGAAAGCCAATTTAAAAAGCGTCTTACGGTCACCCAAGCAATTTTAAAAGTAGCACATCCATAGTACACTCAAATATATACTCACATGACAAAAATTGGGATGCAAACTCAAACTAGGAAAATGCATACGAAAATGACAAAATTTAGATGCATGTGAACTAGGAGACGAAATCCCAGAAATTTTCTTCTACTAGTGCACATACAACTGAAAATTGTCATATTCAAGTTTTTTTTTTCAAAAGTGAGTTTGCATCCCAACTTTTGCATGTAAATATATATTTTGTATGCACCATGAATGTGCTAATTAAGTTTCATGAAATTAGAGCGGCCAAAATAAATTCTGTGAATTGGTTTTCATGTTTTCATCCCGTACTTAGTTTGCACTATGCCATAATCTAGGGCGGGACATCATGTGCACCGGTGTCGGCAGTGAGGAAGCTGCAGGAGAGAAGTACTGTCACCGGGAACGGATGATGCACTGCCCCTGCCACTGTACTCCTTCCGTTCAGACACTCCCAATCACAATCTACAACGTTTAGTTTTTTTTTTTTTTTTGAGAAACATCTACAACGTTTAGTACTAGAAGTATTCTCCCGTGCTGTAATTAAAGGGAAAACGGCCCATGGCCTGGACGAGGATTCAAAAATCCGTAGCAACTGTTCGCACTCACCGAGATCCAGGTGTGAGTGTGACCGAGGGCAAGAGTTTGGGCCTCAAGGACTACGAACATACCTTGTCTTCACGTTAGCCCAGCTTAGCATTGGTAGCATCAAATTTGGTTGGTCTTGATCTTTGGTTTTTAGAAAAATACGGTTGGTATTTGGTTTTGAAATTTGAAACAATGAAGCAATGAACAAGCAAACAGTGATTGAATCTAGGATCAGAGGGATCAAAAACCGCTAATTCGTATAAAGCCATAAACCATGTACAACTTGGACGTACATGCGGTGTAGTGTAAAACATGCATGTCCCACCAAAACAACGAAAAAGAGACTTTTTCTCTCAGCTGAACAATGAGCATGAGCACAGCTTAAGTATTAAACCACCGCTAGTGACATCGACGCACCCTAGCTCTCCAAGAACTACGTCCGCCACGTCACCTCTCTAACAACTACTCCCTCTATTTTTTTAACGGTTGTTTGTCCTAAGTGAAACATTGCAATATTTGACCAACTATTTTTAAAAATCCTTATAGGGTCGGCGGCCGCGTGGTGGGCGAGCCGGGTGGCGCGCCCCGTGGCCGGCGGCAAGGACCGCCACAGCAAGGTGGTGACGGTGCGAGGGACTGCGGGACCGCCGCGTCCGCCTCTCCGTGCCCACGGCCATCCAGTTCTACGACATCGTTTTAAGGGTCGAGCGAAGTCGATGGAGACTATATTAAGAGATAAGCGCATTGTTTCGCGTCCTATAATTGTGATTTATCTTCAGTCAGTCACTCGATCCGTCATAATCTGCCCAACAACTCTGAATTATACTTGGAGCCCAACGGTGCACGCTTTTTTTCTGCCAGTGAGTGGCTCGGTTTTTATGCGATAATTTTATTATCTATTCACAAAAGCTCCTGCCTTTTGTGATTTTGTATAATTATATTATCTCCAGAAGATATTAATAGGTATATATGATTGGTGGCGCAAGGCTGAATTTTATATATTCTTCCTCAATATAAATAAAAATATTAAGTCATACTTTTTTTTTTTGAAACATTGGGTGGGTGGGGGCCATGGCCTGCCAGCCCCCCCTTGGCTCCGCCAGTGTCCAGGACCGCCTCGGCGTCGACCAGCCCAGCAAGGCCATCGAGTGGCTCATCCGCGCCGCCGCCGCCGCCATCGACGGCCTCCCGTCGCTCGACTGCTCCTTCGCCCTCCCCACCGCCGCGGCATCTCCGCCGAGCGCTGGCGACGACGCCGAGGTCAGCACCTCCGACACCAGCAAGAGCTCCGTGCTCTCGCTCGCCAACGCCCCGGCTGACAACGCCGCCCCTCAGCAAGCCAGTCACGCCTACAACGGCAACGCCAGCGGCGGCGGTGGCGCGTTCGCCGAGCTGATCCTGCACTGCTCCGCCAACGACAGCAAGACCGTGCAGCAGCAGCAGCAGCCGACGCTCGCCTACTACGCCGCGCAGCCCCCGAGCGCGCACGCCGCGCCGGCCTTGTCCTTCGAGACGATGCCGCCCCACTTCTCCTTCCTCCAGGAGCAGCCTCACCCCGCAGTCGCCTTCGACCGGGGCACACTTCAGTCCAATGCCGCCGTCGCCGCGCCGCTGTGGCCGACGTCTCAGCAAGCGTGCCGCGTGCCTGCTGCAGAGGTTCGCCGCTTCTCCGGCTGATGCCACCGGACTGCCGTTCTTTCTGGGAGGCGGTGCTGCTGCTTCTCCGGTGACTGCCAATGCGGAGCCGAGGCTGCAGCTCTGGGACTTCAAGCAGGAAAGGAAGACCTGAAAAGTGACACCCAGAGCTTGGCGTTTCAGATGACTATTTCTTGGAGGTGTGAGAGTTTTGACTCCCCGCCCCCCCCCCCCAATTCTGCACAATTTCGTTCTGAGCAGCATTAGCTTTTCTTTTTAGAGAACTAGCAAAAGTAAACAGCTCCCGAATATGACAAAAATGGAAGGAGCTGCAGCAAAATCGAAAACAACTAGTAGCAAATTGAATTTGTGATCAATAAAGTGAGTTTGAGGTTTTAGGATATGGTTTCTGGACTGGATGTATTGAATTTACAATCTTGCAGCAATACTATTCATGGTCAGATAAAATCCAACACTGACTTCACAAACACGACTTGAAAAGTTAATTATGGGTGGAAATAAAAAGAATTCACTTGCTTGCTTAGATCTAAATAATTTGTAAAAACATGACGATTCATCATTGAGAATTTGAGATCAATATGAGTTGGATGATCTTCTCAGTTCTCGCTTCTAGCACTGCACTAAGGTGTATCTATTCATTCAGCATTCAACGATTCTCCTAGAATCAGCTGTTTAACGGCACACATTGTTTTTTAGCAATATAAGTGTTATAAGATCCTGGTTTTCAGTTCATAAGTTCTATCTCTTACTGTTATTCCTAAGCTTATATTCATTAATTTGGAACTGTATTGCAAAAAAGTCATGGGATAGCTGAATACATTTGAGGAACAGAAATGGTCTTTTTTAGAACGCATAAGCTGTTCAGTAGTGTCAGTAGATTGAGGTTTTCATGAATAACGTATCTAGTTGGGAACTTGAGATACAAGTAGTATGAATGAATTCTAAGCTTTCCATAAAAACTGGGTTTACCTCTATAAAAAAAAGTAGTATGAATGAATGGTTTAATCATCTGCATTTCCATGCTTAAAATTAGAGTTGGAGGCTGGAACTCAAAAATAATAGCCTATCTTGGTGTAAAGAAGTTTCTTCTAGGGTATATGTACAGAAATAAATTCAGTGAATTCTGATACATATTCTCCAGTCTTGGTGTCCTGCATTAGTAACCATGCTTGTAAGCAATTTTCTACACAGTTTTGCTATTTTGGTGATTTTTTTGTGAACTTGTCATGACGTGTTTCATAAGGAGAGAAAAGAGTTTGGGATTCGAAACAAAGACTAAGAAAGAATAATCTAAAATAAAGAACCTAAAGGAAGGTAACAGAAACAAAAGCCTAAATAGGAGCTAAAGTGATGACCGGCTACTCCTAATAAGAGAGGAACTATGCCTAGAGCCTAGAAGCAAGGTGGATTTTTGTTGGTTATTAGCGATTAACCTGGGCTCAACTAAGCAAGCACAAGGCAAGAGATCCAAAATGGGGTGCACCTACCCACCCTGCAGTTCTTTGCCCAATAACAGTTACAAGTTATACTACTTGATTGATCACACTACCATTTCTGCACTATGCAATGTCAATTACTGCAACCATCTAGCTACAATGCTATATTGACATATGCATCACTCATACCTGATGACGTTTTATCTAAATCTTGTCTGACATTAATTATCTGTGCAGACTTCACTTGCTATCTCTCATTCCTTCCACTGACTTCCTGGCCGACCCTCATTTGCTGACGAATTTGTTGTTTTCATTTCATCATGCAGAGTAGACGACTGCAACTGTGGCTGGGACTGAAGACCTGCAGAAACGAACGCATCAACTGCATCTTTCATTCGTCACTTAACATTTGTCAGTAGCTTCCGGGCTTGTCTGTGACATCTGCTGCGATGAGAAACCATTTTTTTTCTTTTCTTCATGGGTTTTTGTACTCTGGTAATCTCACTCGGACAAAACCTGAAGGTTGACTTGGTTGGCTGATTGATTGTCACACGAATCTCCTGACTGTCAGTGACTCAGTACTGAAACTCACGCGTGCAGCAAACGGAAGCCATGGTATTTGCGTATGAGGATTCTTAGCAAGTTAGCATCTCTAATTCAAACTAGATAGAACTATATAAAATGTTGACAGCAATTCAGAATCCAAACTAGAACTCCAGCATTCTTTTCTGCCTTAGCAAGACCTAAGTGATCCTCAACTCTGAATATCTGATGAACTTCTTCAGAACTTGTGTGCACCTAACCTCTGAAATCTGAAGTCTGGCTGACGAATTCGTGTCTGCAGACCTACCTCTCTGCCCGGTACTAGTACTAGGTGGGTGGTTCAGAACTTCAGAAGACTAGAAGATGTGTAACTGAAGGCAGGGTTAACAACTTAACATCGATCTCATCCAAGCATCCAGCGACATTTTAACATCTGTCTTCCTGCCCAGTCCAGGTAAGCGTACACAAGTGGTTATCTACGCCGGCTGGAAGAGTTTTCGACAGTAACACACAGACGCCAGCACAGGTTGCAAGCCTAATCAAACAAGACATTCTGCTTTATGCGATGGTACACGAAGACACCCATGTAAATGTAAATATTTGAATAGTTCTTAATGTATCGTTGTCGCAGTAGAGTCTGATCACTAAAATTGGAATGGATTGATGTAGTTATTCTACGACTAAGACACCAAAATATATGGAGCCATAATAAATGATAAAAGGTACGAGAGAAATATTGGCCAGTAATTGTGAAACCTCTGATAACTTGAAAAGGACACTTTGACTCTACCCTCCTCTCTATTTATCCAAGAGATGAAAGGACAGATCATTTTTCTTGTTTTTCCATCATTTTGTCAAAGAGCTAGTTTTGTTCGGATGTCTGCACTTTTATTTAAGAGATGTTTGATCTAGGGACTAAAATTTAGGAGGTGTTACATTGGGTGTCACATCATGGTATTCAGATACTAATCATAAAACTAATTACAGAAGTCGTGACTAATTCGCGAGACGAATCTATTAAGACTAATTAATCCATCATTAGCACATGTTTATTGTAGCACCACATTATCAAATCATGGATTAACTAGGTTTAATATATTCATCTCGCAAATTAGTCTTAAACTGTGTAATTAGTTTTATAATTAGTCTATGTTTAATACTCCAAATTAGTATCAAACATTCGATGTGGCAGGGACTAAACTTTAGGAGGGGAAACCAAACACCCTATTAGACATCTATTTAAACGATTGGTCTCGTTGCTCGCTTATCATATTTTTTTTTTATTTCCGTTGCTCCACCTAGGGTCTTTTTGATCCACCAACTAAACTTTAGCTGGCTAAATTTAGCTGCTATGGATTCAAACGGTCCAACTAAAAGACCAACAAAGAGCATGTTTGGCACAACTCTTAGGGTTCCGGCTCCTACACTATAGGTGTACTGTAGTGGAGCCGAGGGAGCTCAAATCGTGGCTCCACTAGCTCTTTCTCTTCTCAGTTCATTTTTACCTCGAAATCCGAAACGGCTTCGTATTACCATTGCACAGTGTCGCTATAGGGATTTTGAGGAGGAGCCGAAGCCCTAAATAGCCATGCCAAACATAACCTAAAATTTAGGTGAGTTTAGCTACTTTAATCCGGCTAAAGTTAGCCGAGTGTATTGGCTGGAGGATCAAACACATAGCTGTGATTTTACCCTCTCAATTTTGAAATAAAGCTCCGACTTTTTGTCACACCGTTAAGCCTATGTGGATTAAAAGCCAAAAAAAAAGCAAAAAAAAGAAAAGAAAAGAGGTCCAAACAACGCCCCCAACAGATTTTTTCCCCGGGCGCCCTGTCTCCTTCGCTCGACCGCGCGCGTACTCGCGAGTCGCGCAGGATCGGAAGCGCGGCTAGTGTTTTCACCGGCTGGCGTCGGACGGCGGCGCGGTCCTCCGGCGACCTCGGCATCCACCAGGTACAGGTACACCCCCTCGGCTCCTCCTCTCTACTCCCGCTGAGTTAGGCATCATTTCTATTCGCAACAGACCTAATTACATGCACATACATATGTGGTAAATGAGAAAATTTGATTTGTTTTCTTTTCCAGAAAATAGGGGATCCGCCCCTGCCCCTATGCCCCAGGTCGAGTCGGCCGCTGCCTCGGAGGGGCCGGCGCCGCCGCAGGACGCATGGGTCGTTGAGTTCCGCCGTCTCCTCCCGCGGTGGGAGTCACTGCGCGATTCCTCAAAGGTAGATGCCCCTGTGTTTTCCCCAGTGTTCTTAGGTTCGTTTTATAATTTTGTTGTATGACACTTTGCGATGCTGCATATTGAGATGTGAAGTGGTAGAGACTTGAAACCCCTCACAAGCATATGGAATTTGCCCTTCTCCGAGGGCGAAGTCAACTAATTTCACGACCCTCATGGCTGCTAGTTTTGCTGTTCTGGGTTACAGTTTTGCTTATCAAGTACTACAGATATGAAATTTTGGGATAATATTGACCTCTTGGAATTGGAAGCATATTTAGTTGCCACCATTGATGCAGCTGTTGGTTCGTAATTTTTTCATTTCACTAATATAGTGGTTCTTAAGCAAAGAGTGGTTTTGTGATTTTGACCCGTCTGTCAGAACGGGCGTGATACTTGCAGGCACATAGCACAGTTAATGTGGAATTTGATGTCGTTTTCTTATGCAGGTCATTATCCCGATTTCAATATCTAGGGTCAACCAGTTTGATGCTGCAAGGCTAGATGTTGAGATGTCTGCCATGTTGAAAGAGCAGCTACTCAAGGTGTTCTCCTTGGTGAAGGTGCTTTCTTTATTAACTCTGCTGTTTTGCCTGTTGTTTGAGGTTTGCACTGAACTTAAGCGCGCTGCTAGTTATTGCTTTCAGTTTTGATGCTTGTTCTTCATATCAGCCAGGACTCTTGTTCCAATACGAGCCTGAACTTGATGCTTTCCTTGAGTTCCTCATCTGGAGGTTCTCAATTTGGGTTGACAAGCCAACCCCAGGCAATGCATTGATGAACCTGAGGTATAGAGATGAGCGGGCAGCACCCATCACTGGAAAAGAAGGTATTTCTATTAAAGTTTTATGTCAATTGCTGTAATATTTTGTCTGATTTCATATTGGTCATACTGTCTTGCCCTTGTATCTGCCATGCTGGTCATACTGTTTTGCTGAACATTTTAGACAAAGCACATCATTTTGTGCATTTCCTTTACATTACAATACCCTTTGCTTACATGCTTTGGTTGAGGCCCCTAGTATGTTATAGTTGGCTGATCCATTCTCTTGTGGGGTCTAACTTTGCGTACAGAGGCTGCATTTACAATTATGCTAATTACCTTCCCTTCTTATTTTTAGTGAATTAAAGACGTAGCAACTTTTTTTGCAACTTATTCAAGTGAAATTTTCAAATCACCACAGATTCAAAGTTTTGAAAGCATGCTCCCAAGAAATGTTAGGCTAAAAAAAAATAACTACTATAGTGTACTAAATTTATTTTGTTTGAAAATCCTAAAGTTACTTCCATATTCCTGTTTCAGCTTCAAATATATTTTGATACGGTTGGTATTTTACTTATCTTAATCTTTTTCATGATATCCTCACCTCATGGTATGTTCATTATGAATTTTGTGCGCTATTGGGTAGAATGGTGGACACATATGGGCATATGGCCCAATCATTGCTTGTAGAAATATCTAATAAGAATGCACAGTAGAGTGAAATGTTGAATTATGGTCATCTTGTTTGGTGGAATCACTTCAGATATTTTGATTATTGTTTATCCGTTTTTCCTTGAACAATATTGCTTAAGGTTATTTTCTTGATTATACGAGGAAAATAGAAAATAATGACTATTGGATGACAAAAATTTGTTAAACCATCCAACATCTTGTAGTCTCTCGTGTGTTTTCCCGTCAGGTTTGGTTTGAGGTTTTCCTGAAACTTGGTCTTCAGTTCAGGGTATTTTTCCTCAGCCAGATACTAGTGGTTTATCTAGTTGGTGGTGTCGCTCTCGGAAGTAGGTCAACAAGCAGGACAGTAAAGGCCTGCTTATAATTATTGTTTCTTGGGAGATTCTTGCTGTGCATCCTTGTAATATCAAATTACAGCTTGGTTGGATCTTGCCTTTTCACATTGCATGCCATAGGCAATCTCTTTTTCTTTGTAAAAACAAAAGTTGAAGTCAACACAGCAAATGAACTGAACCAAACCAAGGTTATCTTAGCCAAACTATCTCATTTGTAACCTTCCTAGGAGTTTGTTCCATACTGGTTTGTGTTGTTTCCTACTGATACATAGATGAGTATTATCTGAGCAACATCTAATGGATTCCATTTGCTTTTCAGTTAGAACAGGTTTGGAAGGACCTGGGCTCTCTGTTTATCAAAAGATCTTTTATTGTATTAGCTTTGTTGGTGGCCAATATATATGGTCACGACTACAGTCTTTTTCTGCTTTCCGTCGATGGGGCGATTCTGAACAGGTGACGCTGACATCTTCCTGAAAACTTACAATTCCTCTTCACTTGTATTAGTATAACTCAATTTCTATTTCATGGTGTAGAGACCACTAGCACGTCGTGCTTGGGGCTTAGTGCAGAATGCTGAAGTATTGTATAGGGCTGCTTCATTCTTTAACCTATTATTGTTTCTTCATGGTGGGAGGTATCTTCCTATGCCTGTTTAATTATGGCCTTTCTTCTTGTATCGTGAGGATGGTAGAAATTATTCATGGTTATCATGGCCATAGCAGGTGGCCCCTAGTTTGGCAAATTTAATTTTCTATCCAGAGATTGAACACTGCCAACATGTACAACATGTACTATCCACTGATAGGAAATTGATCAATGAGTATATTTGAATGAGCTAGATCAGCATAATCTCTGGGAAATTGAAAGCCACTCTTTTTTAATAGATTATCACCCTCTTCGTTTTTAATTATGATTAAGTTTGTATGACACACACATACTTTTAACCCTTGCTTATGTGTTTATAAAGGTACAAAACTATTGTAGAAAGGATTCTGAAAGCAAGATTTGTTTATGGGAGCCCCAACATGAACAGAGCTGTTAGCTTTGAGTACATGAATCGGCAGCTGGTCTGGAATGAGTTTTCGGTAAATCTCTTTCTTACAGTCCTGTTGTTTCTCTCACAAACAGTTGGTAATCTAAAAAACTTCTATCTTGTTTATCGGACGATGTCACATTGCATATAAAGACTTAGTTTTTCCAGCTATTTATTGTTTACAAAAGTAAAGTACCACTTGTTACATTGATAGGTGTTCTTTAGATTCACCTTATTGCAATATGGCTAGTAAAGATAAAAAATCAATGGATTTATCTCTATTATTTAAGCTAAAGAGTTATTCGGTCTAAAATTTGAACATGTTCTTGAAAAACTAGATGAGTACAGTACTGTGAAGCTATCCCGAGCATTATTCTTATGGCCATTGCTGATATTGTACTCTGGAGAACTTTATTGTCATTTAGATGTAATTTACCTCTGTTTAAATTGCTTTTTTTTTTGCTAGTGTCTTGTTATTCAACAGAACTTTATTTTGATGTACTGCCAGTAGATATTAGTTGAACTTGAAGTGATGCCTGACCCTGCTTAATTGTTCAGGAAATGTTGCTTTTGCTTCTTCCTCTCCTAAACTCGTCATCAGTAAAGAAGTTCCTTCTCCCCTTCTCCAAAGATAAGTCAGCAGATTCTTCTGGCAACGAAGCAGATTGTCCTATATGTCGGTCCAGCCCTAGCATTCCTTTTATTGCTCTTCCATGTCAACACAGGTACGCCGGTTCTTATTGTGCCCTGTTGGTCATATATATCTCCCTTTGTAGTATACTCCCTTCAGTAGATTCCACCCTAACATTTTGCACAACAAAGAAGCACATTAGAAAAACAATGTTCTGATAGCTATTATTATATTAATTAGGATTGCTAGGGTTGGTGTTGGTTACACTAGCTTTGGAAACGACTATTTGATCATTCAAAGAGTAAGACATATATAAGGAAAAGCAATCTCCAAATGGTTGGAATCGTAGGATCCTTCTCAGGATTTCTAGACAACTTCTATAATCATATTGCCGTCGAATATCTACTTTTGCAGAATTGTCAAAGCGTGAAAAAGAATGCTGTTTATAGTATCTAAGCTTTGCTGTGTTGAAATTTGCGTAAGACAGATTCTTTGCTGTTTTCAGGTATTGCTATTACTGCCTGCGCACACGTTGTTCCGCTACAAGCTCCTATAGATGCCCACGCTGTAACGAGGTGGTAGTTGCAATTCAAAAACAAGGGCCAGGTTAGTTTATTAGTTGGGTTATTAGAAAAAAATATTCTTGCCCATTTACAGAGTCACAGACAAGCAGCACTTTGGTCTTTCTTTCACAGTTTAGCTGTTTCGATGCTCGATTAAGGATTTGCATCATGACATGTACATGTAGTTGCTGTGAGTATGAACAGTTTTGAACTTTTGATGCCATTAATCACTTGTGTATTGAATCTCTGTCACGAAACTAACTCGGATTCACTAGGATTTCTCTACTACTGACGATATTTGTTTTGTTCTCCGGTGACAAGGTAGGGAAACGGTTGGCAATGATATTTTCTATACGGAACCATTTCTGGTTGGTCGGAAACTCACTGTATTTTCAATTTAATTATCTATTGACGACTACAATGTGACGTTTAATAAAGAAATTAGAAAATCAAAGTTTTCAATATAGCAATGATCGAAAATAGTCATAGAAGATACTACTTTTTACGAAAGATCGCTTGCCGTCTTGTAAAATTTAATTTCATTTTTTTTCTTAATGAAATATGTGCTTAAGCACGGTCACTAAAAAAACAAGAAAGAAAGGTCGCTTCGTGGTAGCCACTGTTTGACAACTATTTTTATTTGTTAGAGGTAGTTTTGTGTTTAACTAGTTTTTGTTTTTCTTCAACTGTATCAGATGTGAGGTACTCTTTTGAGTGTCTGTATTAAAAGAAAAAAGATAAGCCTGTTGCCACCGTACGTGCTCGTGAGACGGGCCGAGATTACTTTGCCATCTAGTCGGGCCCTTGACTTCGACTTAGGCTTCCTGGAGTGTTTTGGAGCACACCTCATCAGTGAAAGCTGGCTGAACTTCTTCATCCCATGAACCACAGTCTTGCTTGTTTGGAGCAATCGAAGCACCGGTTTCTAAAAAAAAAAAGTCGAAGCACCAGCAACTTGACGTTTTTTTTTGAAATAATATTTTTTAATAATCAATTGCAGTTATAGATGTTGTTTAAAATAATAAATTGCAAAGATAGAGGGCGGGCCTGATGCAAGCGGTAGAGTCTTACCGCATGTGACCGTAAGGTCCTGGGTTCGAGTCGCGGTCTCCTCGTATTGCACAGGCTAGGATAAGGCTTGCCATTGACACCCTTACCCAGACCCCGCACAGAGCGGGAGCTCTCTGCACTAGGTACGCCCTTTTTTTTCTAAAGATAGAGATCGATATTGACCTATTGGGGATAGCTGATAGCACCTGCCCCAAGCGATGACGGTGAGTCGATGTTGCCGGAGACGCCCGGTTTTATTGGATCGGTCGTATCAGTCCGTCTTCTTGGCGTTCTTGTTCGACATGTCGCTTCTTCTTCCCTAGTCGCTAAAAAAGTGTTGATGCTAAATCAAGTCACACATAAGCAAGAGTTAGCACGTCCGATGCCACATATGACCTCGAACTTAGCGAGACTTCCCTAGATCAGCGAGATTGATTGACAAGTTGGTCGCGTCGTTCTTCGCCCATTAGACTCCTGAACACCTCTCGGGAAGACTCGTCAGGGAGGGCACAACAAGATTGCTCTAAGATCGGTAAGGCCACCTAAAATGCCGCCAAATTTCGTTGAGATACATGACGAACAATAGGAGTTGGGAGAGTTAGGGTAAAAGAAGTAGTAGATGTATTTTTTTAATTGGAAGTTGAATTCCTCAATCGACCGTAATTCTCTCGTTTATATAGAACGGGTGGTCTTAAACATCTCCAAGATGCAATCTCCAAGTTTCCTACGACCCAAAATAGGTCTAGACCAAGTTGGACTCAACCTGATCTCGGGTCAGGAAACTGGCCTGGCTGGTTTTCGGGCAGCCATGCCAGGCGATGTACAATAAAATTGGCCTAGCTAGTTTGGGAGCCTAACTAAGCCGATTTTGGCAGATCAGGCCCAAAACCATCCTTTTCTTTATTTAACGGATTTGCTATCTGTTGGCCGGTTATTTTGGCTCCCAGAAACAACCGGTTTTGTGGCGTTCTGATTGGTCAGGAAACCACAGAACCGCACCGTATGTGGGCCTGTCCCTAGAGCACCGCACGTGTCCAGCAACCAGCCTATCCCGCGACGCGTAGCCTGCCCCGCGACAGCCTGTGCAAGCCCTCCCTCCCAGGATCCTCTAGCCTGCCCCGCGACAGCCGGGCATAGCTACGAGTGGGTGTGCAGGCGGCACAGAAATTCGGGGAGCGAGACACGAGGACATATAGGGGCTAACAGGGGGTTGTATCTAATATTTGACATTTGTGAACAGTTTGACATATATTTTTCTGATATCTATAATTCATAAAAATAATTTATATTTATTTTAAAAATTTTGGCATATATTTTTGTTATTCCCAAATTACATTACTCTATCCAATAAATTACAGTGAAGAGATCATTGTAAATATAGTAATATGACAATGTAAATATAGCTATATGACAGTGTAAGTGTATGAAAAAAATCTGATTGTCGGAAGGATTAAAAATAACTGATTGTTACCTAACGTTTTCTAACATTAACTTACTAGCCCAAGCCCCAAGGAGGTGAGAGCCCATCGATGGCAACAGGCGCCGTGCAATGCGGGCATGTTTGGTTGGAGACCTGGAAGACTTGCCTGGCAAAAAGTGTTGCTTGAGAGTTGCTTGGAAAGTTGATGATTTTTGCCTGGCCAGGCAAGTCTGAAGAAGGTCTATTTGGTTGGAAGCCTGTGCCTGGATAGACTAATAAAGATATAATACCATCTTTAAAACATACGTTAATGTTATAATGTATAAACAATAAATAAATAAATAAATAAAAATGATCCACATATTTTCTCAATTAATAATATATTTTAAATTATAGATAAATTTAATAGATTTGCGAGCTATTTAAAAAACATCACAAGGAAAAACGCATGAGAAAGGAAGATAATTGACACTGCTCACACTGCTAATTTAGCGTGAACATGATCAACGAAAGCGATAAAGAATATAGAACATATAAAATATACAAAACAAAAACTACACGGTGATATGATATGGTTCCCTTTTACCTTGATCACTGTTTCCATGCCAGGCAACCGCGTCAGTACCCAGGCAGTCGAATTCGGTCGCCTGGCTCACGTTGCCCTTGCCTGGTCCAGTCATCATTTGAGGGCTCCAACCAAACACCTCACAGGCAGACTCCAGGCAGCTGCAAATCCAGGCAAAAGTAGTCCAGGGTCTGATCCAAACAAGCCCTGCGTGCATGCGTCGTGCGCACTCCATGCATCCTGCCTTGGATTCTCATCACTGGCCGCCGCATGCAGCATGCCTTCCTTGTTTCCTCTGCTTCCTCCTTCCTCGACAACACTCCATGCATCCTCCGTCTAGCTAGCTTCTTTCACCACCACAGCACGCTAACGCATGTACTCTCGCTCCGTGCCATGCCTTCCTTGTCTCGTCTCCTCTGCTTCTTCCATTTTCCTTGCTTCACCCCGAGCGGGGCGCAGCTTAATTCCTTCTATGTTCTATGTATGTATGTATATATCGGCACGGGCAGGACGACGGATCGGACCATTAAGGGCTTTCGGTTCCTCAGGATTCGATCTAGCTAGCTAGGAATAATTCCAACTTATCAAGACTACAAATTAGTGAATCATTCCGACTGAGAATTGTTCCCGAGCCTCATTCCTAAGGATCCGAACAAGCCCTAATTAATCCTTGGTCTAGGACACGGCCAAGAGTGTCTTCCACCTTCGTCGAGTGTAGTGCCAACCTGTTGCTTCTCCTCGGGATCCCGCATATGTGTTTTGGCTGCCAACCTGTTGCTTCTCCTCAGGATGAGCAGCACCTTCTTTGCTTGGACATCCGGCCTTGGATCCCGCATATGTGTTTTGGCTGCCAACCTGTTGCTTCTCCTCGGGATGAGCAGCACCTTCTTTGCTTGGACATCCGGCCTTGGATCCCGCATATGTGTTTTGGCTGCCAACCTGTTGCTTCTCCTCGGGATGAGCAGCACCTTCTTTGCTTGGACATCCGGCCTTGGATCCCGCATATGTGTGGCGACAGAGTGGGCGAGAAGCCGGGCACGGGTGACTGCGGCCACAACACTCGCCATGAGCGTTGGAAGCCAAGCAAGAGTGCGGCGCTCGAAGCTTGCAACAGCGTGCGCAAACGCCAATCACACTGTTCGCTCGAACTACTTTACTTTTCAGCTAACGACCAATGTTTTTCTTTTATAACAAATCAGCATAAGCTAAATTTCAGCATAAGCGAACAGGGTGAATATGTTTGAGCGCCTGGACGTCTCCCACGCCGCTGAACTTGGACACGGACACCCGCTCCCGGTTCCGCACCACGCACGGCAACACTGGCATGATGCCAAGCACATCCCAAGCCTGCGTGGTCATGGCCACCGTCGAGTGTGGCGCTCATTTCCCATGACGGCGTGACGCCAACACCGCTATATTGAGCACCTGCCGCTATATTGTTCGTTCAGCCTGGCGTTCGGTTTTTACCGACGGCGTTTGCGGTTTTTCAAAATTCGGTTTCAGAAAATGACCCCGATCGGTTTGTCAAAACCGACCGGTTCGGTTTTTAGTTCGTTTTTCGGTTAAAACCGAATAAACCGCACAAAAAAATATCAACATGATTTACAATTGACAGTACAAACTTCGGTTTTTAGTTTGGTTTAACAGGAAAAAAAATGAAGGGTCAATATTTTAAGTTTGAGATGGAGTTCGGTTTCAAGTACAACAGGCCACAGGTTCAGACACTTTTTATAAGAAGCCCACGGATGGGATATGGACCTAAGTGATAAGACATACAAAGATAATGAACCCGAAAAAAGCCACTTTGAAAGTTTCGGTTGGACCTAAAAAAAATCTCCTGCACCCACAACATGTTTGACGAAATGAAGGGTCAATAGTTGCTTGAGATGGACAAGTCAGCAGGCCACATCAGCATGAGAAGCCCACGTGGAGGGATATGGACCTAAGTGATACGACATACAAAGATAATGAACCCAAAAAGCCACTTTGAAAGTTGATGGACCTAACTTTAACTACGGTGTATTTAACTATCTTTCTTCTACCTTACCAACTTATGAGTATTAAGATGAAGGCTCCATTTAAAGTCTCCCATTTACGATAAGATACAGTTCCTAATACTAATTTGACTACTGATCGGAGGACGTTGAGACACTCTAGTCGTCGCTTGATGCGTGCATGTACGGCCGGCGGGGTTGGACTAATTTTGGCGCGTGCGTTACGCTTGCTGGCGCCACCAATGTGACGACTGACGAGTCTTTTTCTTGCATGCACAATTGTTGTCCTTGCACTGACTGGAGCTCATTTTCAGATGCCACTGGATCAGCTACAGCAATCTCTGAGACCAGGCGGCCAACAACTAACATTAACTCGCCAAACAAATACATCCATCGCCACGCGACCCCTGCAACAGGCCAGGCACCGCCGTGCATGCGTCGTGCGCACTCCATCCTTCGTCCTTCGTCCTTCTCATCACCGGCCGCCGCACTCCATGTCTCCATGCATGACTTGCCTCCTCTGCTTCCTCCTTCGATCTTCCTCAACAACACTCCACGCATGATCCTCCATCTTGTCATCGTACCCCTCCTCCACATCGACACTCAATCTCAATGCATGTGTTGCCTCGCCTTGCCTTCTCTCCTCAGCTTCTTCCCTTCCCTTCGCTCCCTCTCCTTTTCCTTCCTCCCTTATATATATCGGCACGGGCAGGATACAACAGATCGGACCACTCACATTGATCCTTGGGCTAGGGCACGGCCAAGACTGAGCAGCATCTTCCACCTTCGTCGAGTTCAGTGCGCGCGTGGATAGGTGACAACAGCGGCCGAGGTCGTCGTCAACCTCTCTCCTCCAAGTCTCTCCACAGCATGTTTCCATGGTATTTGAAAATGTCATTTTTCTATACCCTATGCTCTAAATTATATATAGATCATTTTAGCTTTTTTTTTTTTCAAAAACAAAATCTATATAACCACTTCAATCATGGGTGTTGGTCTACTTCACCTCCTTGCCTAGAAGACCATGTATTTTACTCTCTTAATTAAAGTATTCAAAACCGTCTAAATAACCCTTGGGATGGCTTTGAAGGCGGTTTTGCTTGACGTGGTAAATTACGTGGATGATGACATAGATGTGGGTCAGCAAATAATTTGAAAAAGTTTGGAGAACTATGTCAGTACTCTATAACTGAAAAATGTTTCCTTTTGCACTCTATTTAATATATTTTCAGTAGGGGCTCCTTGCCCCTCCTGTTTCTTAAAAAAAATATGAAAAAGCTTATGTAACCTCGTAACAAATTGAGTGTTGACTATATAACCTATTCAGCTATAAAACCCTAGAGTGCATGCTTTTGTAAGATTGTTTTGCCTGCCAAGCTTGCCTGATTAATTACCCTTATTGGCACGTGGGCCCATCTATAAGATGGGTAGGCTTGGCGGCTTGCTAGAAAGGTATCATGGGAATAGAAAGCGAGACAGGGATGTGGGAGGGAATGGTGTAGGCATAGACACTATGCATGATCTTGATGCCACCAAGGAGTTTCAGGGGGTAGAGCAGAAGACAAAAGATAGGGGAGGCAAGATAGGGAGGTTGGATAGGCTGGATCAAGAGAATTAAGACAGAGAGGGGGGCAAAGGGAACCAGTGAGAATGAGAGTTAAAAAATAAAAAAAAGAATGTACCCAGTTATAGATAGATCTATGTGCAAGCATGGGTAATCATAACATCACACAAGGTACAATGGTGAAACTGCCCTAGAAAACCATTCGGAGTCCATTTGAAAGGTATTAGGTACTTAAGGGCTATACATATGTACAATATTAGGTTTTATAGATCAGAGCAGATTATGTAAATCAACCCTCTATATCTTAGGGGTTATATAGACTTTTGCTGTTATATTTTGTTGGCTCAGAACATAACCATATTATCATTATCCATGTAATATGCTACCTCAGAAAAACGCCGTCAATACTACCCCAAAAGGTTATTTAGATGGATTTTGATACTTTAACGGGGTAAAATACAAGGTTTTCTACTTAGGGTGGTTACATAGACTTTTTTTTTCCTTTTTTGAAATCAAACTTCTTTAACTCAGACTGAGTTTGTAGAAAAAAATACAATAACGTCTACAACATATAGCCTGTCACCAAAGTTGTCTGATGACTCGCTCAAAAAAAAAGTTGCCTGATGGCATCTTTCATATAGTTGCTTTTTTCTTACAAAATGCATCATCTACAACATCAAATTATAGTTTCAAATTTGACCATCCATTTATCTGAACCTATAGATATTAATATTTATTTCTAAAAACTTGGTAAAAATACAGAAACTTGACTTATGATAAAACTAAAGTGATCTATAATTTAGAATGGAAGGAACATTTCAAATCGATCCAACTCCCGCACAAGTAATGTGGTCCCATCTCTCTCCTCTAACACTTCCTCTAAAAACATATGCTGCTGCAGGTGGATCTCATCCCGGGAGAGGGAAAACGAAAGACTGCGCAATGAGAAGTCTGAATTGGAGAGGGAAAACAATAGACTGCGCAATGAGAACAATAGACTACGCAATGAGAAGTCTGAATTAGAGAGGGAAAATAATAGACTGCGCAATGAGAACAATAGACTGCGCAATGAAAAGTCTGAATTGGAGATGGAAAATAATAGACTGCGCAATGAGAAGTCTGAATTGGGGAAGGAAAACAATAGACTGCGCAATGAGAAGTCTGAATTGGAGAGGGAAAACAATAGACTGCGCAATGAGAACAATAGACTGCGCAATGAGAAGTCTGAATTGGAGAGGGAAAACAATAGACTGCGCAATGAGAAGTCTGAATTGGAGAGGGAAAACAATAGACTGTGCAATGAGAAGTCTGAATTAGGGAGGGAAAACAATAGACTGCGCAATGAGAAGTCTGAATTGGAGAGGGAAAACAATAGACTGCGCAATGAGAAGTCTGAATTAGGGAGGGAAAACAATAGACTGCGCAATGAGAAGTCTGAATTGGAGAGGGAAAACAATAGACTGCGCAATGAGAAGTCTGAATTGGAGAGTCGGATGCAGCGGTTGGTGCACCAAAACAACGAGCTACAGGATCAATTGGACAAGAGGACAAGGGATATGTATGCGTCCTCAAGAAAGGCCTCCACACTAGAGCACAAGGTGCTGGAATTGGAGCATCAAAACACCAAATTGTCCCGTGAGCTGGTGAAGCAACAGGAGGACACCAGGAAGGCATGCTTGTTGTTCATGAATGCTGCGGATAAGTATGAAGAAGAAGCAAGGAAGCAACTCAGGGAAAAGGAAGAGGAATTGGTGAACACAAGGAACGCAGGTCTGGTGATAATGAACACCGCCGATGTGTACGAAGAGGCAGCAAGAAAGCAAATTAAGGAAAAGGTGTGGGAACTAGAGGACACAAGGAAAGTGGTTCTTGTCCTCATGGACGCTGCTGACAAATACCAAGAAATAGCAGACAAGCAAATTAAAGATATGGAGGAGGAATTGAAGGTCATGGGGGCCGAGAAAGCAGAGATGGATGCAAGGGTAGCATCTTTGGAGTCGAGGCTCAAGGTTGCACTTGATAAGAATAAAGAATTAGAGGGTGATTATGATAAAGTGAAGTTTGAAAATGAAAGGCTTCAACTGGAGGCTCATAGGTTCATGATGGAGTTGGGTGTATTGGCAGAGGCGAAAGATGCAGCTACAAACTCATGTAGTACTGAGACACCAGAAATCATGAAGGAATTGGAGGACCTTGAAACAAAGGAGGAGGAAACTCAAGCAAGCAAGGGATTTGGTGAAGGGTGAAAATGATGAACTTTGGTCAGCATTTTTTAAGGGAACCGGAGGGATTTCCCCCTAACGATTATGATGTATTAAGAAGTTAGAAAAGTGTGCCACTCAACATTTAAGAAATAAAAAAGTTGCAAAAAAAGATAAGAAGGATTATACGCAAGGCTCTTGTCTTGAGTCAATTATTAGCAAGTAAGATTTCTTTGATATGTGGATAACCAAGGACAAGGCGTTCTTAAATGAAGATTTTCATCTTGCAATGCTTGGTTGTTTGTTTATAAAAATGATAATATTATGTTCCCCCAAATGCTCTAGCACATCAAAATAATAATCTCCATGAAGAAAGGCAGCCACAATTATAACTTGAAGTCTTTCAAAACTACTTCAAAAGGTGAGGTGCCAATTGGAACTTGCAAATTCAAAATAGCCTGATAGTTTTGAGCAAAAGGGCATTGAATGAAGAGATGCTACAGGGACTCTTCAATTTGACCATTGCAAAAAAATCTTAGGATTGCAAGACTATATTCTTTCTTTTTAGGATCTTTATAGTGCTTAAGTGATCCTTTAAGAACACCTTGTGTTTATTCAGACATGAAGAGTTCAAAAGCCATTGAAAAGTAGCATGAAAGCATAAGCCATCATATGCTTATAAGCTGTAGTGGATGAGAAGAAAGGGTTGCCCCAAATATAGGTCCAAAAAACTAGCTTCATCCAATAACACAATGTCCCTAAGGGAAGTTGTAATTGCTCAAAGGCCTCCACATATTAAGGTAGATGGAACAGTTGGTGGAGGGGATTAGTTGAATAAGTTCTAGAAAAGTTAAAAGTGTTTGTTCTTTGCAAAATATAGACTTTTCCAAGCTATAAATCTATCCAAAACAAACAATTTCTGGCATCCTAATTGAGACGGTAGAAAGGCCCTTGAATTTATCAACTAATTCTGTGTGTGCGTGTGGACCCCAAGGCCGCTAGATGTTAGGGCAAATGTTCATGCATTCCATCCACCCTCTCAAGTGCACATGGATCACACCGAATGCATATAATAGATCCAATTGTTCATCTTTGTGAGAGCTAGGTCTTACAGCTTGAGAGCTTTGAGAGTTGGGCTTGTGTTCACTTATGATCTTGGTGAGCTAGAGCACTTAAGGTATTAATGATGACCTTCAATGAAGGCATTGACTACATGGGCCCTGGGTGCCCTCATCAAAGCTAAAGCACATGGACAAATACTTTTTTTATTCTTTTGCTTGAGGTACTGTGGTGTAATTCTAGTTTGTCCTACATTGATATCCTAACAGAACACTATTGGGTATATTTGGTTTTGATTCTTACATCCAATCGAACAATGTGAGAAGCAGCAATATGAAAACCCTGCCTAGGTAATTATTTCAAAATATTTCTATTGTTTTACTTTGTTTCAAAATAATGTTGTTTTATTGTCAACTTGACGCATTAGCAATGTGTGAATAAATTTGTTACTTTCATCAGTGCTTGCGCTACAATATGCATAGTTGTCCATATATTTGATAATTTGTTTGTTTGAAGTGTATTATTGAGTTGACCAGGCTTGGTTTCACAGGCTCTGAACTTGTCAAAGCTGCAATGTCTTTGAGAATTTCCCAAATGGTCAACTATGCTTTTTGCACCTTCAAAGACCTTAAAGAAGGAATTCATACTGAATGTGCTTACTGGTAAGTTGTTCCTAATGACCTTTCTATTCTCATGTTCATCCTAATTGGTGTTTTTCTAGCTTCAAGTGACATCAGGACTCTAATTTCTACATGTTAACCTTTTGCGGCATTTTTAGGCATGTTGTTTTTGTCATGTGGTTAGCAGCAGCCTAGTTTGTTCATTTTTCAAGTGGTTATTAGCAGTAGCACTCCGATGCTAGTGGAAGCGAGTCCAACGTTGAGTTCCAGGTGTTGTTGCCGTGGCCGACAACGGCTGTGTTCAGTGTGTGCGGTTGTACGAGTTGCCTCACCAAGGAGAGAAAGCCAAGGGATGATCGCCCTATTCGCTTGGCTTATAAGCCGTACTTTTTCAGCCAACGAACAATATTTTTCTCTCACAATAAATCAGCCAACAATACTTTCACCCATGGCTTTTCAGCCAAGCGAACACGACAGATGCTTTTTCTGGCATGCATGAGCTGATGAGGGTCATGTTTGCTATGGGGTCTGTAGGTTTCGAGGTTCCTTCGCCTGTGCCAACATAGACCAACAACACACCATGCTCAGCATGGCCATAATCGGTCCATACAACATATGCGCATGTACGCTGTGCTCATGTTTTCTATTTGATTCAAGCCATAGGGCTTGTACACAAAAGAGAAGTAATAGTATTTACTCTAGATGAAATTTAGTTATTACTGTACTCTGAAATATGACATATGGATATGAATCAACTGAAAATGTGGTTGCACCTGATAACTGATGGGACTTGGGACTATCACAAATGTGCAAAGGCTAAGAATTCTTACTGGGAATATGGTCCATTTTTACCCCTAGCTTAGATCCTCTTCTAATTGTACAAATACTCATCACATATAATAAGCTTAAAACTATAGTCATGAACCACATGTTTACATATTAGGTTTTGGGAGAACAGATGTGTTCGCATAACACACACACACACACACACACACACACACACACACACACACACACACACACACACACACACACACACACACACACACACACACACACACACATATATGGGTGTAGCAAAATACAAAATAATTAATATAAACACAATGTCCTGATGTACACTACACATACAACACCACAGAGTGGATAACTTGTAGACTGCCAGTGCCACCAAATGAATAGTCACAACTCCCGATGGAAGATGGCCATTTGCTTATTAGAGCAAGTACTCAAGCTCTACATTGTACTCTTAACTTGTCTCTTTTGACGTTGGGCTATAAACCCAGGCATGTCCTAGGTAGTGTCTACTCCTGGCTGACCTACACCTGGTGAACCATATATACTCGTCAAGCTCTCCTTTGGAGTAGCATATGCTATGCCACAATCAGAGTTCAATGAAGAAGACCGCTCTTCAAGTAGTCCAAAGAGCATTGGTTCCTCGAAACAAACGTACGGTGGAGGTGCTACCTTGCTGATGACCTGCACCACCTCCTCCATGCTCGGCCGACTAGACGGATTTGGGTTCGTGCATGCCAAGCCAAGAAGTAGCAGACGTTTGGCCTCATCAACACTGTACGACTGATGGTCGCTTGAAAACATGTTATCTATAGCCTCAAGCAACTTCCCTTCTCGATGAAGACGCCTAACCCAAAGAGTTACGTGGCTATCATCAACTGGAACATCTGCATTCTTATTGCCAGTGATAATCTCAAGGATGAGTACCCCAAATTCATAGGTGTCAGTCTGTCGTGTGGCTCTACAGGTAATCACATATTCTGGTGTCATGTAGCCAAATGTGCCAGCAATGCCGGTAGCAGAGGTCTTGTCAATGGCAACTGTGCAGGCGATACCAAAGTCACCAAGACGAGCACGAAAGTTGGAGTCAAGCATTATGTTGCTTGCCTTGATATCTTGGTGGAGCACCATTGGCTCGTGCTCATTATGAACATAATGCAGGCCAGTTGCTATATCCCTCACGATTTCGTAGCGGGTGTGCCATTGTAAAATATCTGTGTCATTTGGTGGCACATGCAACCGTTGACGACTGGTGCAGCTTCTTTGGAAGAGATGCTGATCCAAGCTTCCATTTGTCATGAATTCATAGATAAGAAGGGGCTCTCCTTTATTGTAAGACCAACCTAAAGTATTACCGAAAATATGCATGAGTCCAAGTGACTTTCAGTTATAAATTAACACTAGTTTATCAAATGGAACTGCACGGTCAGAATCTAGAAAGGCATATATATTTAGATTGAGAAATTGTTTATCTAAGTAAAATTGTTTATCTTTACGGTCTCTCATCTGTCCACTTTCTAAAACAATAGACACATAGATACTCATACCACTTTTTGGTAACAATTACAGTAGTACAGGTGGCATTTCAGAGGAGACCAAAAATAATTTAGTGTCTTGAAGGATTTGAACCCATGACTTTCGACTCACATAACATCTCCCAACCATTGCAATACATACTCATTTGATATATGCATTATTATCTTTTGTATCAACATTTCATAATCCTGTATTGAATATTTTGAACACTAAATGATCTCAAATGAAACAAAGGTTTCAACTATAGAGTTTTAATTCTTGTCACACACTATAACTTTGGTATAGGATGTGCCTCCATCCATATTGTTTGAAAATTTCAAAAATTTGAATATCAGAACTTAAGACAAATATTTGAAACTACAAAAAACTTTAGATAAAAAAACTTATCAATTACAAACTTTTAAATCATGCCAATCACTACAACTTTGGTATTAACCATGTGAATATTCAAGTTTGTTTGGAAATTCTAAATTTTGAATTCAAAATCTAAAAACTTAAAACACATATTTGGGACTCTAAATAACTTAATATAAAAAACTTATCAAGTACAAAGTTGTATATTGTATTGTGAAATACAACCTTGGTATAGATCATGTCAGTATACGATTTTGTTTCAAAATTCAAAATTTTAAATTTTAAAATCAAGAACTTAAAACTAATTTTTAAGGACTCTAAACAGTTTCAAATCAAAGACTTATCAACAACAAAGCTGTAGACCGTGTCAAGTTCTATTAAATTTTACTGTAAAGTTCATCTTCATCCAACTTCATATGAAAAAGTTATGAAATATTTTTTATGCAACTATTTCTAGAGGTTGACCCACCTCTTAAGAGTGTCACCTCTATTAAGTGTTTTCTAGAGGCGGACATCTAATGAAGCCTACCTCTATTAATCGGTCAACTGAGGTGAGCATCCTAAGGAGATCATCTCTTTAAATAATCGTTTTGTACTAGTGTTATTTTCTATACTTTTTCATCCCCACGCATATAATTTTACTCATTAGCACCGCACATCTATGTGTGTCACACATTTGAT